AAGTGCTGGACTAAATTTGAACACTTTTCAAGGCTGTATGGATCCTGGTGCATCAGTAAATAATGGGAAAATACACAATTAAAAAGTCACTTACCAGTTCATGCTCACTTCTTATCCTGTCTCTTTATCTCTTCATTTTCTAATTTCCAAAAATATGTCTTCTTTTTATATCCAGAAATCAATGCTTTCAGCCGTAATTCTTGCCTCTTCCTTAGAACATTTCTGACCTTCTGGCTTAGACTTTTGAATTGGCTCAACGGTCAGCGCGCTTAAGACTGTGCTATGTATAGTTATTTGACCTGTTTGAGCAGGCAGTAGGCAGACTGTTTATATCAAACTGACAGTTAAGATAAACACCTGGCTTGTAATGAATCTGGTCCAGTGAAAGTTACCAGTGTACTTTAATCAAAAGTCAATTGATGCTAACTATAAAGTTTAAAATTTATATATTGTGCAATTGTACATTATAATAAGATTTCAATCATTTGTCTGATTTCAATAACAATAATAATAATAGCAATAATAATAAATATTTTTCACAGCATTATTTAAAAATATAAATCTGTTCACTCAGTAATTTTTTTATAGGTGAAGTCTATGTACTATACACTATATCCATTCAGAAAAAAAGACAAGATGAAAAATATATATATATATGAGAGTATATAGCTTGGAAGACAAATAAAAGTAGAACACTGTTTTTTAGCCCAAGGAATTTGACAAACTCTAAATAAAAAAAATAATTTAATCCTAAAAACTATATGTTACTGATCAATAGATAAGCACATGTGATTCTCAGTTGTGAACAGAAACATTTTTATTATAACAGAAACATTATTCAATTCTATTGAGTTGTTAATTGGATACGTTGGCCCAACGTTAGGCCAACGTATGCAACAAATATGCACACGTTGGCCCAACGTTGGGCCAACATGAGCATATTGCAGTTATGTTGTGCATATTATGATGTGGTTGGGCCAACGTTGGGCCAACGTATTACTACCAACGCCAACCATGTGCCAACAAACCAACGATTCCCCTACGTTGGCCCAACGTATGCTTGCTATCTGGGAACATGGCTTTTCTTTCATAGGTAATACAATACATAGTGTATACTCAGTACTAGTGTGACTACATATTCTATAGGTAAGTTGAGCGAGTATCTTTTAAGTATAGGTACATAGGTAAGTTGTACAAGTGTCTCTAAAGGAGAGAAGGAAAGAGGAAAGGAGAATTGTCACCTTCCACTTCAGAACATGCCCTGAGCTGGTGTATATGTCCATATTTAATGGTTATTATATATATATGGGTCACCAGTGTTTGGTTGTTTGTTTATTAAGGGGGTTGCAGGTGCGTCACTATATATACAGTAGCAGAACAGTGGATATATATATATATATATATATATATATATATAGAGAGAGAGAGAGAGAGAGAGAGAGAGAGAGAGAGAGAGAGAGAGAGACTACTAGTTTATGTATGTACCCCTTTGGGCTTAATTTTTTTAAACTTAGCCTGTACTTTAATCAAATACAGTTTATCTTAAGTACCAAAAAAATAAAATAAAATAAAAACAGAAAAAAAAAAACAGTTTGGCAGTTGTGTTGTTAACAAATGTGTGGGACAGCAACAGTGACAGCTACCAAGTACAAGGACAGACACAGGTGATCAGAATGTACCCAGTATAGAATAAGTACAACACTTTAAAATTTCTGCAATAGACTAACCTAGATTTAGTTTGGCTCAAAGCAGACTATGATTTGATATTAAAGTCTAGACCATTTCTTGATATAAAGTTATTTTAAAAAACAATTCCCAGTACTCACCAATGACATTTTAGTTCTAGTTACTAAGCCATCTGCCATATTGGATAATTTCAGGTGATCATAAAAAAGTATATAAATCATTAATGTACTGTTAAAAGAAAAAAAAGACTTATCTTACTTTTTTTCTATTTCAGACAATTCTAGCAAGCTTATGCTTTAAATCCTGTTCATCATCAACTAAACTGTGGTCATGCACATTATAACAGTGGACATGTTAGCTTATATGGAAATAATATTAATCATTGCCATGACAACCCAAGCTCAACCACCATGCCCATGGTCTGGCATCTGTATCTGTAACTCAACTATGAACCAGCCGGTAAATCAAGGTGAGATAAGATACAGTGTCAACTGCACTCTCAGGCGTCTGAAAACCATACCCACGCCCGGAATTTCCCATTCCCTCACATACGAACTCATCGACTTTTCACACAATAACATCACATTCCTACAAGATGGAGCTTTTCTAGGACTGTTTCCAGCACGGCGGATAGTCCGCTTGTCACTGACACACAACCAGATCAGCTACATCCACAGAAATGCTTTTGCTATTTTGCAATACAAGTTGGATTACCTGTTCCTGGATTACAACCACCTGACAACAGTCCCTGGAGAGGCAGTGCGTCATCTGGAGGCTCTGTCAGAGCTCCACCTATCCTTCAACAAAATCAACACATTCCCTGGGATGACATTTCAGGGCAACATGGAGAGCCTGGAGGAGCTGAAACTCCAAAACAACCAGCTGACCTCTCTCCCAACCAACGCACTTCAAGGTCTTCCGAACATCTTCCGTGACCTGGATATCAGATATAACAATATAAGTACCCTCAACATTTGTACTGTTGCTGGTTTTCCTAACTTACAGTATGTGAAAATGGATGGCAATCAGTTATCATGTACATGTGATCTCAAGTGGATGATAGACAGAGGAGTAAAGCTCCAGATTTCAGCGTCAACCCCAGTCTACTGTATACAGGGGGAAGACTTCAGAGCTTCACCTGAAAACCTTCGGTGCGGTGCTCCTCCTGACTGTGGTTCCTTATCTAACCCTGCCACCACAATGGAACAAACAACCCCAGGCCTGGTGAAAACCACTACTACTGTAACAGTGGCAACTAATGAAAGCTCATCAACAGGAACCAAAGACAACACAGTTGTAATACATGTTCATGTAATTATTATTTTCTTGGTGATTGGAGTGGTAATCATTGTTACGGTGGTCATTGTGGCAGTTGTAGTAATTTGCAGAATGAGACGCAAACAGCAGACCATGACTAACAGAGGTCAAGGCCAAACAGAAACAGAAAGTGGAGAAAGTGACCCACTGAAAGGTGAAGGTCACCAGATGCCTCCAGCTAATTCCAAGACCAACGAGACAGAACCGTTGACGAGAGAACCTGGGTACGAGCAACCAGTCTCCCATGATGCTTCACCACAGCACGTGTACACACAGCTCCGTACCCTGCCCCCTGTGCCAGTCAGTAACGAGGCAGGAGAGGCACAGTATGAGGTAATGCATTCACCTGACCAGCCAGTGTATGTGAATGATTATAGCTACTGTGACGATGTTGATCCCAATGCTCCTCAAACAGGGAATAAACCAGAATATTTGGAGTTGTTGCCGTAACAAGTTGCAAAATTCTGATTTAACTTATGGTTTGCATGGGAAATAAACAAGGCAGCACAGCTGTTAGATGGACAGACATACATATATAAATGGCGAAACTAATTCAAGCAGTGACATTAAAACAGTGTAAAAATGCAGTTAAAATATTTTTTGGGCAATCTTAGTATATATATGTATATATGTATATATATATACAATCTTAGTATATATATATATATATATATATATATATATATATATATATATATATATATATATATATATATATATATATATATATAATGCTGAACAGCATTATCATGACCAATTTTAAATCATGTACTACTGTTCACAGCCAACATGGGCACACACACAAAATAATAATAATAAAAAAAAAAATTTAAAATAAATAATTCAATCAGGCTGGTCTTTGATCTGAAGCTGTATTTTAGCTCTCTAAGTTTGAGAAAAATAAGTGCCGTAACATTTTCACTTTAATGGTGTTGAGATAAATTCCAGGAAAGTGCAAGGTAACTGTGATGCTAAGATTGACTGTGATGCTAACAGAGGCAACAGACGCAAGTGATGACTTCATGCCTACACACATAGGGGCTATATATCTATAAAATCAAAGTCACTATACAGTGTCACCTTAATGCAGGGAGCACTGTCCTATGCTATTTATCCAAACAACTTTCCTGTCCACAAACCTTATAATGTGAATTGGGAAATGTTACTGACCTTATCTTCAATCTATTCTAAAATCTGAAAACCCTTCCAAATGCCCTTTGTAGTCAGATTCACCACTTGCTGATCTTGAATATTGAAACATATTTCATTACTAGAAGTTTTAAAATGATTTAAATTTATTTATCACATTTGATATGATAGCAATACACAATTCATCTATAATTGACATCAGCAGAAAAATTCTTGTAATTACACTTTTTAAAAACTAAGAATTATGTGGGTAATCTCACTGAAATAAAAAATGGGGGGGGAGGCATCATCTATACAATATTAATTTAATTCGACAAATGACAGAAAAATTACTTGCTGATTATGCATTGTACTTCCCCTAGGTTGGTTTTAAACTGGTCATAAAATATTGAATAAAAATAAATAACATGAATTTCACATAAGAAAGACAGAAAATGAAATTGACTGATGAATATATAATTACCTTCTAAATTTCCAAACCAAAATGACAAAACAGTGCACGTAGTGCCCATTCTTAAGGGGCCTTAATGATGATCAACTAGAAGATCTCATTTGCAAACAGTAGATGTAGTCATCTCTGCATCCTACCAGAATCTTGTCCCCAAACACAACAGGAGAAGAGAACACTTCCCCTGGGAGATTATACTGAGAGAAGCAGGTGCCATCTTCAAGTGCTAACAAGTACAAGGAACCATTGGTCGCGCAGATGCACACAAAGTTTTCATATGTTTCAAAATTTTTAACGTTCTTGCAGATGTTTCCAGGCTTTTCTGATGTGTTAGGGATTTCATTTGAATTGTCAATGAGTTTCGGCACAATTTCAGTTTTTAACACTGGGAACACAAAAGGTGTGGAATACACCTGAGAACTGGTCTTCATTTTCCACCTCAGTGTGGGGGCATCTGATGGTAAACAATAAACATAATGATCATGTGATCCAAAGATGATTAGTTCTGTTTTTCTGTCATCTGATTGATGGATACAGGGACTGGAAAATATTGGACCACTTGTACTGTAAGACCAAAGCTGAAAAAAAAGTTTAACTTCAATCCATGCATTGTTATAAAGATACATATAACCATTACACAGTTCAGTAACTAAACAGTGAAAAGGTATACAGTACATTGTCTTTTGACAAATCTGGACAAAGTAAACACATTTCCTTTTCAAATTTCAATCAACATGTATGCTAACTAAATGTGGTAGAAAAAATCAGATACAATAAGTAATCAGCCAGTTTTTATGTCAAGAGCATCGAACAGCAAACTTAAGTTCAAGTTACGCCAAGAGAACCATATCAAATTTGCTGATATATCTAAAAGGCTTTGGATTCACTAAATGAAGTAAAAGCTACGACCACAAAGGAGAAGTAAAATGTGCTTAGGCCAAGTACATTGCAAACTAATAGTTATCTGTCAACCAGCTGCTTCCTACCATTTTTCCATTATAATCTATGTGATACAATTTTCCATTGACACAACCTATGCATACTCCTTCCTGAGTGAGAGCAGGTGAGGAGAAAAATGGCTTGGTATCGGATTTATCATAAAACATCCAATTAACTTTGCCCATATCCTGCAAATAAATCTACATTTAACTTGGCAAATGGCAAACAAATGATAAAAGCAATTGCAAAGAGCATTATTATCAGTTACTTTAAAACCATTTGACTGCATTACTATTATTACTCACAATACAGTGAAAGTAGGTGTTGGTGCAATAATCATGAGTTGAAACAAATGTCTGTATTTTTTAGCATTCACTTTTTCTGCAATGAAATAATGGACCCCTCCTCCCTATATAAAATAAATAAAATAAAAAATTAGCTTACAAAATCATCATCATCAAACAAATTAACAAATCACAAGACCTAGCAAATGAGGGTTCAACTTACTGCAGACAGCTTGACTACTGTTCCTGCTAGTGTGGCAGCATAGACATTGCAGGAGTCAGGTGATACTACAGGAGACGAGAACACACTTCCTCCACCAAGGTCTCGCTTCCAAGCACACTGCTGGGACTGGGAAAGGAAAATATGTGTTGTTGTTATTATTATTGGTGGGTGCCTGTGTGTGCACATGTGTTTACATGTGCGTGTGTATGTGTACGCATGCGTGCATGCATGCCTGTGTGTGTAAAATATTCACACGTATAATAATCCAATGACCCAGCCTGCTGACATTAAAACCACAATAAGAAGTTATTATAACATAATAAAAGGTATACTGATTATTGTTACTGCCACATTGCATTCTGCTGGTTTTCAACTACTGTATATCTTTACATGCTTCTTTACATATATAGAGAGCATTTTAGCATAGTCATTTATAATCTATGACCTCTACATCCCATACATGTACAGAGATTTTGAAATAGGTGTAGCTATAGCCTTTATACAGATTTCAAGTTGTCTTGGCCTAAATTTTTTTTCAGTGTTCTAAGCATAAAAAACAAATTATTAATATAACTGATTTTTCATGTTGTCTTCTATTCTCACCACAAAGCTACCCTCACCTTAATATCCAGCCCATACAAATGGTGATCATGTGAACCCACATACACCAAAGCATTCACAGGATTTATGCATGGGGAACTTTTCACTGGCCCTGATGTCTTAAACTGCCACCAGATGTCTCCACTCAAAGCATCCAAGACATAAACAGCATGGTTGTAACATCCTAGTAGTGAATAAAGAAGATAAAATCAGAGAAATAAACCACAAATAACAGATTTACACAGTTCTAAAATTCAAAATTCCCCGGACTAGTTAGTCCATGGATCAATTGGTTGTGAATGCCCCCTACAACAATAAAACATCTTCTTTTCTCTTCTGTATTTGGATGACTTTAACTTGACCAAGAAACTGAGGAAGTTATTCACATAAAAGGAAATGGGACTGAGTATAGGTATCAATTATTGAAGCCCCTTCAGATTAATCTTAGTCAAGAAATTGATGAACCCAATATATCATCCAAATAAGAATTAATGACAGCAGAAAGTAACAGTTAATCATAATTTCTGCAAAATTATTTTTCTTATGCCGTAAAAATAATTTAATGCAAAATACATTTCAAGATATGTGAAAAGACGCGTGCTTTGCTATTTGTATTTATTAAGTTTTAACTCACCAACAATGACATAATTCCCACAAGATGACAGGCAAGGTGATGACTCAATTCTGTCCCCTAGCTCTCTGTCCCAGTGAACATTCCCAGTATGTAAATCTATGGCAGAGACCCTGTGTGAGTGAGAGCCTATGAAGACTTGTCCCTGACCTCTACATTACAAAGTAAAAGACACATATCAAACAATAAAGTTATCTAAACACAAACTGTTATCATAAATACTTATAACTAGTGAATTCAATGGTCTTATTACAATTTTTTCGTTTGAATATCTCTCAGAACTGCATTCAAATAACAGTATTCAGATTATGTTTTTTTCATTAGCCCAGATTTTCTTAATTAGCATATGGCAAAAATATACTTCGGCTAGTATGGGCCTTGTACCTGTCTCTTAAAACCAGTAGTGGAGAAGCATCAACACACTTCCCTGTGTCATATTTCCAGCCTTCAACTACCTCTGGTCTTTTGAGGCTTGGTTTTCTTGGTGAAGATAACTTTTGGAAACTTTGTGCTCCTGTGCTTTCATTGCAGTGAGTTAAATACTTTGATCCCCTTTGAATAGACAAAATGCCCGTTACAGGATGCTTAGTGCCACTTCCATTCAGCATCTGAACAAAGTCCGTTTCTTCATTTTGTAATTTTCTTTTCTTTCCAACTTGGCTAATTTCTGAGAAATTTTCAGTATTTGACATCACATTCTGAATCTCATTTTTCATACTTGTGGAAGTAATTAATGAACCTGCTGTCAAGGGTTTGAAAGGATGTTCCTTAAAAGCATTTGTGCATTTGTCACGTTTATCTCTAGATTGTACATCAACAATTAAAGACCCATGATTGATTTCATTACTGATGTAGTCTTCTATCTCACTGGATGTCTTGTGTAAAATGCTATCTAACAGGAGTGGAAAGGAAGATTGGAAAACTGTTTCTAATGTCTGAGTCATGTGAACTGCCATTAGGGAGTTTCCTCCTCTCTCCATCCATCTATCCTTAACATCTGGGAGATGACCAATAACATCCTGAAATCAACAACATTTCAAAGTATTTTTCACATAAATATCAAGATTTATGTCTAATATTATTTGACAGTTATCTAAAATACATTTAAAAAAGAGAAGTAAAACGCACATTCCTTATATGCATCTCAGACCTCCATGTGCTATTTCATTACTTGTTGAATCAAAATAATCCCCCTTTGAAATAGCCACTCTTGAAGAAGAGGAAAATACATCATTTTTATGGTTTTACAATTTGTGGTATTCAAACCTTCCAAATTTCTTGAAGCACTTGTTTGACTGTAGAACCAGATGTGTACTGCCTGCTTTTTTCAAACTCTGCAAGAAGAGCTTCCTTATCCACTTTACCTTTAAGAAATAATAATAATAATAATATTTATCTAAAGTGTTAAATCCATTTAAAATGTTCAATAGAATTTACAAAATGATTTTGAAATGAACACAAAATTATTGAATAGTATAAGAAACATAAAGCACAGAGTTAAAGGTCAGTTTAAAATCCAGTCCATTAAGATATAAACTTTTTAAAAAATTCTTTCTTAAAATTGTCAAGAATTTCTATAATTCTATAGTTCATTCAAGACTGTTTAAAAACCAGTGTAAAATGAATTTCCCTGGGTGTGCTGGTTAAGAGGTGAACTGAAATACTTTGAATAAGCTGCAGTTTATTTATCCATTGCTTGGTGCAACCAAAGAGCAATGCATTACAGTAGTTAAGGCGAGACTTAATCATTGCATGTATAACAGTTGGTGCCAATGATTGATCTGAGTAATTTGAATAGCACCAATGTTTCTGATGTTGAAACTACACCACTAGGTAATCTTTGCAATCTGTCCATCCATAGAAAGGGAAGAGTCACAATCACTGTAAAGCATGTAAGCATAACTCTGATGACTTATTGTATCAATATAGTAAGTAATAGCCTGATGTGATTTATCAATCATTGTATTGGATGGCAAATATTATGGTTCCTTTATCGTGTTATCCAAAAATGGATCCAGTCATAAAAACAAAGGAAANATGCATTGTACTTCCCCTAGGTTGGTTTTAAACTGGTCATAAAATATTGAATAAAAATAAATAACATGAATTTCACATAAGAAAGACAGAAAATGAAATTGACTGATGAATATATAATTACCTTCTAAATTTCCAAACCCAAATGACAAAAGAGTGCATGTAGTGCCCATTCTTAAGAGGCCTTAATGATGTTCAACTAGAAGATCTCATCTGCAAACAGTAGATGTAGTCATCTCTGCATCCTACCAGAATCTTGTCCCCAAACACAACAGGAGAAGAGAACACTTCCCCTGGGAGATTATACTGAGAGAAGCAGGTGCCATCTTCAAGTGCTAACAAGTACAAGGAACCATTGGTCGCGCAGACGCACACAAAGTTTTCATATGTTTCAAAATTTTTAACGTTCTTGCAGATGTTTCCAGGCTTTTCTGATGTGTTAGGGATTTCATTTGAATTGTCAGTGAGTTTCGGCACAATTTCAGTTTTTAACACTGGGAACACAAAAGGTGTGGAATACACCTGAGAACTGGTCTTCATTTTCCACCTCAGTGTGGGCGCATCTGATGGTAAACAATAAACATAATGATCATGTGATCCAAAGATGATCAGTTCTGTTTTTCTGTCATCAGATTGATGGATACAGGGATTGGAAAATATTGGACCACTTGTACTGTAAGACCAAAGCTGAAAAAAAAGTTTAACTTCAATCCATGCATTGTTATAAAGATACATATAACCATTACACAGTTCAGTAACTAAACAGTGAAAAGGTATACAGTACATTGTCTTTTGACAAATCTGGACAAAGTAAACACATTTCCTTTTCAAATTTCAATCAACATGTATGCTAACTAAATGTGGTAGAAAAAATCAGATACAATAAGTAATCAGCCAGTTTTTATGTCAAGAGCATCGAACAGCAAACTTAAGTTCAAGTTACGCCAAGAGAACCATATCAAATTTGCTGATATCTCTACAAGTATTTGGATTCATTAAGTGAAGTAAAAGCTACGACCACAAAGGAGAAGTAAAATGTGCTTAGGCCAAGTACATTGCAAACTAATAGTTATCTGTCAACCAGCTGCTTCCTACCATTTTTCCATTATAATCTATGTGATACAATTTTCCATTGACACAACCTATGCATACTCCTTCCTGAGTGAGAGCAGGCGAGGAGAAAAATGGCTTGGTATCGGATTTATCATAAAACATCCAATTAACTCTGCCCGTATCCTGCAAATAAATCTACATTTAGCTTGGCAAATGGAAGGACAAATGATAAAAGCAATTGCAAAGAGCATAAAGTTACCTTAAAACCATTTGACTGCATTACTATTATTACTCACAATACAGTGAAAGTAGGTGTTGGTGCAATTATCATGAGTTGAAACAAATGTCTGTATTTTTAAGCATTCACCTTTTCTGCAATGAAATAATGGACCCCTCCTCCCTCTTACCAACAAGGTCAGATGCCCTTTATAACACCGTTTTTTAAAATTATATTTATATTCAATCATTCATTCATTTTTCTATCATTTACTGGCTTTGTTCACTAACATATAAAAAATATTTTAAAAAATTATTCTTGATTTTGTTCATTTATATAAGGAAATAAAATAAAAGATTAGTTTACCAAATCATCATCATCAAACAAATTAACAAATCACAAGACCTAGCAAATGAGGGTTCAACTTACTGCCGACATCTTGAATACTGTTCCTGCTAGTGTGGCAGCATAGACATGGCAGGAGTCAGGTGATACTACAGGAGACGAGAACACACTGCCTTCACCAAGGTCTCGCTTCCAAGCACACTGCTGGGACTAGGAAAGGAAAATATGTGTTGTTGTTATTATTATTGGTGGGTGCCTGCGTGTGCACATGTTTATATGTGTGTGTGTGTGTGTATGCATGCGTGCATGTATGCGTGTGTGTGTGTGAGTGTGTAAAATATTCACACGTATAAAAATCCAAGGACCTGACATTAAAACCACAATAAGATGTTATTATAACATAAAAACAGGTATACTGATTATTGTTACTGCCACATACATTGCATTCTGCTGGTTTCCAAATACTGTATACATTTACATGCATTTTTACATACAAAGATAACAATAGTAATGAGGCATTTATGCTTTATTTCACAACTTGCATATTTGCATTAGCTGTTTATAGTCTAAGAGTCTATATCCCAAATTCTTTGGTAATATATCTATATACATGTGGACTTAAAAATAGATGTAGCTAATAGCCTTTAAACAGTTTCAAGTTGTCTGAGCCTGAAAATATTCATTTCTTTTAGTGTTCTAAACATACAAATACAAATGATGAATTTCACAAACTTAATTTTTCATGCTGTCTCATATTTTTACCCTCACCTTAATATCCAGACCATATAAATGGTGATCATGTGATCCCACATACACCAAAGCATTCACAGGATTTACATATGGAGAACTTTTGACTGGCCCTGATGTCTTAAACTGCCACCAGATGTCTCCACTCAAAGCTTCCAAGACATAAACAGCATGGTTGTAACATCCTAGTAGTGAATAAAGCGGATAAAATCAGAGAAATAAACCACAAATAACAGATTTACACAGTTCTAAAATTCAAAATTCCCTGGACTAGTTAGTCCATGGATCAATTGGTTGTGAATGCCCCCTACAACAATAAAACAAACTCTTTTCTCTTCCGTATCTGGATGACCTTAACCTGACCAGGAAACTGAGGAAGTTATTCACATAAAAGAAAATGGGACTAAGTATGGGTATCAACTATTGAAGCCCCTTCAGATTAATCTTAGTTAAGAAATTGATGAACCCAATGTATCATCCAAATAAGAATTAATGACAGCAGAAAGAAACAGTTAATCATAATTTCTGCAAAATCATTTTTCTTATGCCGTTAAAATAATTTAATGCAAAATACATTTCAAGATATGTGAAAAGACACATGCTTTGCTATTTGTATTTATTAAGTTTTAACTCACCAACAATGACATAATTCCCACAAGCTGACAGACAAGGTGATGACTCAATTCTGTCCCCTAGCTCTCTGTCCCAGTGAACATTCCCAGTATGTAAATCTATGGCAGAGACCCTGTGTGAGTGAGAGCCTATGAAGACTTGGCCCTGGCCCCTACATTACAAAGTAAAAGACACATAATCAAACAATTAAGTTATCTAAACACAAACTGTTATCATAAATACTTATAACTGGTGAATTCAATGGTCTTATTACAATTTTTTCGTTTAAATATCTCTCAGAACTGCATTCAAATAACAGTATTCAGATTATGTTTTTTTCATTAGCCCAGATTTTCTTAATTAGCATATGGCAAAAATATACTTCGGCTAGTATGGGCCTTGTACCTGTCTCTTAAAACCAGTAGTGGAGAAGCATCAACACACTTCCCTGTGTCATATTTCCAGCCTTCAACTATCTCTGGTCTTTTGAGGCTTGGTTTTCTTGGTGAAGATAACTTTTGGAAACTTTGTGCTCCTGTGCTTTCATTGCAGTGAGTTAAATACTTTGATCCCCTTTGAATAGACAAAATGCCCGTTACAGGATGCTTAGTGCCACTTCCATTCAGCATCTGAACAAAGTCCGTTTCTTCATTTTGTAATTTTCTTTTCTTTCCAACTTGGCTAATTTCTGAGAAATTTTCAGTATTTGACATCACATTCTGAATCTCATTTTTCATACTTGTGGAAGTAATTAATGAACCTGCTGTCAAGGGTTTGCAAGGATGTTCCTTAAAAGCATTTGTGCATTTGTCACGTTTATCTCTAGATTGTACATCAACAATTAAAGAACCATGATTGATTTCATTACTGATGTAGTCTTCTATCTCACTGAATGTCTTGTGTAAAATGCTATCTAACAGGAGTGGAAAGGAAGATTGGAAAACTGTTTCTAATGTCTGAGTCATGTGAACTGCCATTAGGGAGTTTCCTCCTCTCTCCATCCATCTATCCTTAACATCTGGGAGATGACCAATAACATCCTGAAATCAACAACATTTCAAAGTATTTTTCACATAAATATCAAAATTTATGTCTAATATTATTTGACAGTTATCTAAAATACATTTAAAAAAGAGAAGTAAAACACACATTCCTTATATGCATCTCAGACCTCCATGTGCTATTTCATTACTTGTTGAATCAAAATAATCCCCCTTTTAAATAGCCACTCTTGAAGAAGAGGAAAATACATCATTTTTATGGTTTTACAATTTGTGGTATTCAAACCTTCCAAACTTCTTGAAGCACTTGTTTGACTGTAGAACCAGATGTGTACTGCCTGTTTTTTTCAAACTCTGCAAGAAGAGCTTCCTTATCCACTTTACCTTTAAATAATAATAATAATAATAATATTTATCTAAAGTGTTAAATCCATTTAAAATGTTCAATAGAATTTACAAAATGATTTTAAAATGAACACAAAAATCCAGTCCATTAAAATAAAAACTTTTTAAAAAATTCTTTCTTAAAATTGTCAAGAATTTCTATAATTCTATAGTTCATTCAAGACTGTTTAAAAACCAGTGTGAAATGAATTTCACTGGGTGTGCTGGTTAAGAGGTGAACTGAAATACTTTGAATAAGCTGCAGTTTATTTATCCATTGCTTGGTGCAACAAAAGAGCAATGCATTACAGTAGTTAAGGCGAGACTTAATCATTGCATGTATAACAGTTGCTGCCAATGATTGATCTGAGTAATTTGAATAGCACCAATGTTTCTGATGTTGAAACTACACCACTAGGTAATCTTTGCAATCTGTCCATCCATAGAAAGGGAAGAGTCACAATCACTGTACAGCATGTAAGCATAACTCTGATGACTTATTGTATCAATATAGTAAGTAATAGCCTGATGTGATTTATCAATCATTGTATTGGATGGCAAATATTATGGTTCCTTTATCGTGTTATCCAAAAATGGATCCAGTCATAAAAACAAAGGAAACTAATAACAAAGTATGGGTGGAATACACTAAAAATGAGTCAAGCTGGCTTAAATGTGTGTTAAAACACAAGCTGCAATAACTAATAAAAGCACCTGTTTGATGTACACATATTTCAGATATAATTGCACCCATGACTGGTGGTAAAGTGTTTGCTACTCAAATGTCAGATAATGCAAACACTTTAAATATAAATTCTAAAATCTGAAAAACACACTGATCAAGGACCTTTGAAAATTTTCAGAATAAATGTCCGAAAGAAAAGAAAACAAAACAAAAAATAAAATAAAAAAGGTCATGGAGAAATATAATATACAACTGAACATTCAGATACTTCAGATATGTTACCCACCATGTCTTGTAACTGGTATCTCCTGTACCATGTGTATGATGTCTGGTTTGTAATGTGGTGGTAGGTGCTCACTTATTCTCTTCTCTACCTTCTCAATCAAACCCACTATATCCCAGTCACCGGGGAACTGGATGAACAAATACAGGCCATTTTCTCTATTCAAGGTCACACAATACAGCCCAGGAATCTGTTGCTCAGTGAACTAAAAATGAAAAGACATCTTTCCTCAAAAATGGATTGAAAATGAAAAGTAAGTAATATGCAGAATCACACTTTTGAAATAGCTTGACTGAGATTTTATCAGATAGAACAATTATCATTGAGCCAATGAAATGCACTTGATAACAGAAAGGTAATTGCAAAATATCATTCTCTATCTTATATCAATGGGAATGATTATTAACTTCAAGATACTGGTCCTGGGCCTTTTTCTGACCATAAGAATTCATCAAAAAATGTTGATTGCATTGATTTCTTGTTATAAAATCTACAAGTTTTCTCTACCTTGGTCAACTCCACCAGATTCAGTCTCTTGCCATGTCTCTTGATCTGTTCATCTTTTCTTCCCTGGTAAACAATTCTACCGTCTTCTTCCAATCTTACCCAGTCCCCTGTGGCATGCATGGTCGGCATGGCAACCAGATCTAACCTCGATGGACTGGACATCTCACTTACGAAGCATCTTCTCTTGCTCCCTCCTGAATTATACAGTAGTTCATTTAATGAAATTGTTTTACAAATTGCATTTGATTTAAAATTTTTTAAAAATGTATCATGTATTGCAAGATCCTGCCTCTTGTTTTTCACATGACAACTGAATTTCCCTCGTTGAATAATATTGTAACTATGGCATGGTACATAGAAACTCACAGAATGCGAGTGTGAAAAAACATGACAAAGAACAAATTACATTAGGATTTTGTATAACTGTTTTTCTATTTTTTTCTGTTACCTACAAACAACTGCCCTTCCCCACTCTGGACAGCAACACCAGATGTGTCCAAGACCTGAACTTCTGTGTCCAACATAGGATGACCAAGGGAAACAGCCTGATGTGGAGAACCTGCCCTGAAAAGCATTTTTGAGACTCAATGTTTTGTTCCAAATGTTTCACACTAATTACACTGGCAATAAACTGTTCTTGCATTGAAAAATCATAACATAGATCTCTGTCATGGAATAAAGTAATAAGAGTGGCAACTCACCCTAATTCTTCCTCTGTTATTTCCTTCAGCATTGCCCAACATGAGACCTCAGTTATGCCATAGATATTGTACATTTTGGTCTGGTTCCCCTCTGCCCTCCAGGTTCTCAGTGTTTGTGGAGAGGGGAAGCTCTCACCCCCCAGGATCAGAGCTCTGAGAGAAGTGTCTTGACTTAACAAACTTGATTGCAGAACCTTGTTGCCAAACCTGGATAAGAATGTGGGTGTTGCCTGAAACAAAAAAAAATTGCATTTATTTTGAAATATTTTGTTAATGAAAAGAGAAGTACATCTCCAGATGAAGAAAAATATTCTCTGAGTCTTCTCTACAGGTCCTGAGCTTTGGTGTAGCTGTCAGTAACTTATTCCCTGGTCCAGTTTTTGCTTTCTGTCACCATGAGATATTTTGTTATTAAAAAGTAAAAAGAGGGGCATCAGTGCAGCTCTATATGACGAAACTAGTCTACACATCCTGAGCTTCAGGTCAGTAACTTATTCCTCTGTTTAGCACATGTTCTCTGTGCCATTTAAGTAATGCTGATATAAAACAGTAACATTTCCCACAGACTCTGAAACTCGTGTGTCTCTCAGCACCTTATAGTCACTTTGTAACACTAGGGTCAGATAAGATTCAGGCACCAAACACTAAAAGAAACACTATCCACCAAATAAATACAAATATTCAGTTTTCATACCTGCAATATTGTCACTTTATTCCTTCCACACAGGACTTCCTCACACAGTTTGGGTGCTGCCTTCACAGCATGTGGCACAATGAGAAGTGTGGCGCCAGACCCAAGAGCCAGGAACATCTCAACTACACTGGGGTCAAAGGTCAGTGGAGAGGCCATGAAAATCACATCACCAGGACATGGCTTCAGCAGACACCTGTAGAGCAAATTAATATACAAGTACTAAGCTGATAGAATTTTTTGAAATATGAATAAGCACAATTTTTGGAAATGTTTTGCTTTATGACTTCATCAACAACCTCAAAAATAATGGATTATATATCTTTGGAGTCAAAGGCTCTTACTGGTATCTTCATAACACATTTAAAAACAGCATGAGTATTTACTTTAATAACATTATGGGTATGTATCTTTGTAAAGTTCTTCGTATCATCTTTTGGAAAATTCTATTTTATAGCACTCACTTCAAGTCTGTAATATTTGGCATAATGCAGCTGTGTGGCACATAGACCAGTTTAGGAATGCCAGTTGTTCCTGATGTAGTAATCACATAGGCAAGGTCTTGTATTGGACAAGGGCAGACTGGAGCCCCCTCTATATGAAAAAGTGAGAAACTGGGCTTCTGCAGGGTGCTACACTGTGTCTTGAACTCTGTCAATTTGGTCTCACTCAGAATTTTCTATGAAGCAAATTATATTAGGAATTTAAATCCATGCAATCTGAAGTGTTAGAATTTAAAGAAACAACTTTCAGTGAAACCTTTAATCAGACAACAATCCATACTCATCATCTTTTCAATTAGAAATGAATAAGGACTCAAAATATATGTTCAAATTCAAGTTAAATGAGCAACATTTATAATCGCTTTATAAAACCATCATTGTGCTTGATTACAGAATCTTTGTAACTCTGTTAACTAAGTTTCAAGAGAAATATTAACTTTACTTTATTTGATAACTGAATCTTGTATTTCTTCTAAGAATTACATTTTTGAAGCTCATATCATTTTCTGCTTACCTGATGGACAGATGCGTCTGCAAACAGAAACCTGGCTTGACACCGTTGCAGTGTTTCCTGGGTTGCAGTGCCCCCTAGTGTTGGGTCAATAGGCAAATAAGCACACCCTGCCTTCATAATCCTGTGAATGGAAAAATATCATATATTAATGTAATTTCAAGGGACTCTATGTTTTTCCCAAATCCAAGTATTAAGAAACAAAATTTGATGCAATTTAATTATCCATTAATTATATTTAAAAAAATGACATTAAAAGAAAGCAGAGGTGACAATAATCTACAAGGAGTAGGTGGGAACCCCTTGCAAGCAACCAGATGGTCTGGTGATATGTTAGGTGGACTATTTCCAGTTAAGGTTTTTCACAATCTGAACCTGTGGTCAAAATCATATATTTACACAGTACATACATACCCTATGAGTACAGCAGGCATTAGCACACTAGGGTTTACCATAACTCCAACAATTTCACCAGGAGAACAGCCAGCTTCCTTCAGCAGCTCACTTACCTAAAATAGATGGTATAAAAAATGATCAGTTCTACTTATATTCCTTACAGTTATTATAAAAATCATGTATAAATAGCTTTGTAAGTAGCAACTGAAATGTGCCATAAACAGTACATAAAGACAACAACAGAACAAAATGACAATCAACAAAGTTCTCTCAATAATTCCAGCACACTTACAAGAGAAGAAGTCTACCCGCTAACAGCAAACTAAATGCACATACAACCAGGTTTACACAGTTAATTACCCTTACCGCTAGACTGTGTCTGTTCAGTTGACTGTATGTTACAGATGCCAACTGCAATCCATCATCAAATACAACTGCAGTTGAATGTGCTTGCTGCTGTGTACTCAACTCAAACAGAGCGTGTAAGCTCTGCATGTTTATCAGGTTTACTAGGTCCTGTACATTTACAAGTCNTATACTACAAAAGTACCTACAAGTCTTCTGTATGAGCCATTTTCTGCAGCTTGTTACTGAAATTCAAATAAAATATAATAACCTTTATTAATTTTACTAAATCCGGTGAAGGGACACTTCATCACACATATCAACTTCATTATGATGTGATGACAACAGAAAAAAAACAAGGCTTATTTCCTCTCAGTGGGCCCCACTTTCCGCGTTGACTGTGCCCTGTGTGTTTGGTATACAACTGAAAATTAAAATCCCGCTCTGGTAAACTTAACAAGGCCCAAAGATAAGACAAGAAAGAAAGCTTCATCGGTATAGTATGTATTTTTTTTAATTCACCTTATCTTTAACAGCGATGCAACTGAGCAAAAGTTCGGATTCCGTTTGTTCGACTACCTGGGCGCTGACATATTTGTAGCTCCGCAGACAATGTTATTTATTGTTTTAAATTCGAGAAATCATACTTTGTAATGCTTCTGATAAAAATCCTTTTAATTATAAAAAAAATATTCTACGTTTTGATTAGATGTTTTTAGTAAACTGCTTAAGAATATCAACTTTATACTTTAAAATATCCAGTGCAGGACCATTATCTGAAAAAATGCGCCAGGTGTGAACCGATAACAATTGCACAGAAATTTCACCGGTGTAGGGTTTTGAGAGATAAGCGTAATATAGAAATGGCCCTGAAAGTTTCAGGTCAGCAAGACACTGATCCATTCAAAGGTGAACACGATGGCAAAGTGAGGGAGGTGGGAAACCAGGCAGTGTGGTCTTTATCTTCATGTAAACCAGGTAAGATTAAAAAAAATGCTTCACACATTCAGGATCTTGGTAAAAGTTAAAAAGAATAATGAAGGGTTGGTCTACAGGATAAGACTAGGAAATTTGTTAAAAATGCAGAATGGAAGTGCTTTAAAAACTAGTCTTACTCATTGTCATTGGTAATCAGTTTGCCTAGTTCAAATTCTGTTTTGAAGGGGGGGGGTACTATGAATACTGTTTAATTCAATTAAAATCTTCATCGATCAGCATCAGTTAAATGACATTGTTGGAAACGAAATCATTCATCGCATTGATGCCTCAAACCTATTCTGTTCAATGCAACCAGTCCTTTGTACAATACTTTCTTTCAAGGTTTTGGAGTTGAGCAGCTCCGTGATGAATCCATGGACACATACTGGCAGTCAGATGGACCCCAGCCTCACTTGGTCAATATACAGTTCCGCAGGAAGATGACCATTCAGAATATCTGTATATATGCAGACTACAAGTCAGATGAAAGTTACACGCCAAATAAGTATGCATTAAAATGCATGTGCTTTGTGTGTGTGTGTGTGTTTTTTTTTTTTTTTTTTTTTTCTTTCAGCGAGAAATGGTTTTAT